TGATGAACAGTTGTATAAGACATAGTTGAAAGAAATAGAGATATTTGGTGTTAGGAAGCATACTCATTTAACTCAGGGATTTGGATAAGGTTGACATAATTAAATATTCCTTTTAAAAATATTACTCTTGAAGATAGAGAATGGTCAGAGGGACAAAGTAAATATGGAGAGACTAATGAGAAGAGAAATCAGCAGCCCAGGTGAGAGGTAAGGGGTAATTGATTAATGAAGAAGATGGGAGGAAGTGGAGTCCGAGAGGAGTAGGATGGATTGGACATCCACCCATGGGCCACTGGGAGGGAAAGTGACGTGGTTGTTTGGGGGAGCATTATGTTCAAGATACAAGCAGGGCGTTTTAGTGACAGCTGTTAGTTAAGCTGGTGTGCTGAGAACCTGAGGGTAGGAAATATGAATGGGGAGGCACCAGAACAGAGTGAAGATCAACAGTGATGGAAGTTATGTGATCCTTTTTACAGTTCACAGAGCACTTCAACACTTAGCAACTCAACTGGTATGTAATATAATTCTTTGCAGCAAAGCATGTCTTATTATGGCATTTCAGAGAGATGAAAACCAAAATTACCTCATGCAAATTTGTTGAAGCTTTTAACTCTAGCAAATGTCAGAACCAAGACTTGAAACTAGTTCATCGATGCCAAATTTTTAAGGTTTTTGATTTGTGATTTTTTATTATACTCTAGAGCCTATCCAATGAGGATGGGGCTGTCAAAGGTGTGTTCCCAAGGGGAAGAAATCTCAAGGCCACAGCTGAAGGAAAGAGGGTGCCGTGAAGGAAAAGGAGACAGAGTGGTTAGGGAGGGAGAAGAAGCTGGAGAGCCCTTGGCTTTAGAAACCAGGCAGTGGGCAGAGGACAAGGAGCTTCCAGGAAGAGGAATGGGCAGGTTCTCAGATAGGACTAGAGGATCAGGACACTCAGTGCTGGGAACAGATCGTTTTCTTGACCACACATTTTTGCCTCTCCCTCATTTCACATGCACTCTCATTTCACACATTTGGCTCTGATTCCTGACTAGATTACAAGTTCCCTGAGGGCGAGGCCCATGTCTTATTCTCCTTCTTGTCTCTGCCTTGCCTAGCACAGCTCTGTAAGTAGACTGATAGGAAATGTGAAAGCCCTCTGTGTACAGATGATTAATCATCCTTAGAGTTTTTCCAAAGGCACAGTCTGATGCCAAAAACACATTTGTTTAAAACGTGTGCTTAGATTTGAATGAATCTGCCTAAATGGTGCCATCTGTTCTCCGGCAATTTCAGAAACATTTTAATACGGTTTTACCTTTAAAAGGACAAGCAAATGGGCATGCCCACAAGACACGAAGACGTCCTTAACTAAACGCAGAGCAGACACCAGCACATCCAATCACACTTAAACAGCTCCACATAAAGAATGTTTTCTGAGGTTTAAGAAAATTTTATCTAAAAGGACACCAACCGCTACTTCATGCAGAAAATATTTATGAGACATTACAAAACTGTAGGCATGGACTTCTACAGCATATTACTGCACTTTAATTATAGACTCCAGAAATGTAATTTCATTTTCGTAAATATCATATTCCTTTGAAATAAATGGGCACGCGCTCCAATGTTTATTAATGGTCCACATTTGATTGCACTTTCCCCATATCAGTTTCGAAGCCGAAGACAGCTGTTGACAATAGTCTGTGTTACTTGTTTATATCAATGTTAATTTGACTTTCGTTACGGTACTGTAGGATTTATTGTTGTGCGAATATAACAGTGAAACGAAACCCATGTTTAAGTTCTGCAAATAACTTACAGTCACTTCCAGAACACCTCAACTTAGGTTCTAAATTTGAATTTGCGGTTTTACATGCACAGTTATTTGCTGATCCACTTTAGCATGCAAAATCACACACTGGCTAGGTTTGTGTATAGTTATTGTGGCAACAAGTAATGGGTCAAATTTTCAGCCTATTTAACTCACTAGCTACATCATCATCACCGAAACTATGCCATCTGTATATTTTGCTAGTTGGTGTAAATCAACCATGGTGTAGATCAAGAAGTTATTTTTACGAAAGAATTTCTGGTTGAAATAACATCCAGATATGTTTTCCTATCTGCATACATGTGCATTCATAGCAAAATTCTTTGGTTAAGTCCCATTTTGCAAAGGTGGGAATCTGAACATATTGACTCTCATGAATATTCATTTGGAATAGTCTTAGTTTTTTTATGATTTGACAGGGTGGTACTGCTAACGAACATCTTGACTCAGCTCATTTTCTTTCTTGTAGAAAATTTATAATCTAAAAAAGTACAGAGAACAATAAGACCAACATATTTTAGTTTTCACAACCCAGAATTTTCTTCTAATAATTTTTGAATAAACGAAATAGCATGTCACAGAGAAAGCTGATGTGTCTTTGTTGGCCTTCTACTTCTAACCCTCAAAAAGGCTACCACCATCATCAATTTGCTCTATCCTTCTGGTCCACATCGTTATCCTTTTAGTGACTTTAGTTATACTCCCGTGAACAATAGGTAGTCACACTTGTATGATTACGTAAACTCTATCACAGGGTTCACATCATTCTTTAATTTGCTGTTTTTCTTCAGTACGAGGAATTTCTTCAGAAACCTATCTGTGTCAATATTTCTGAAGGTTATTTCATTTTAACTTCTCTGTATTTTGAATTATCCCAGGCTATTAATCTCTTCTGCTGCAGATGTTCATTTAAGTTGTACATTTTGCACCAATTTCCCAAATAATGTTGCAGTGAATGTCCTTATACCTGTGTCTCCTGATATACCTACCCAAGAATTCTCTCTAGGAGATACACCTAGTAGTTTCTTGGTGGGTTGTGAGTTTTATGCATTAACAATGTTGCCTCATACTGTCAAATTGCTCTTGTTAAAGTTCTTAAGTTACGTTTCCATCAGCAGTATATAAAAATTCCCATCTCCTTAGGTCCTCACCAGCACTTGTTGTGCTAGACTTTATCTTTTTAATTTTTGCATTCTCGTGGGTATGAAATCATTTATTTTTATTTTTCAAAGTTAGATAGTTCTCAAAATTTATAAATTGGAGCATTTTTTTCAAATATACATTAACCATTTTTAGATTCCTTCTTTATAGTATCCTTATTCTAGCTTTTGCCTTTTTTTCTGAGTTGTGTTTTTCTTGAGTAATGAGTTGTGTATTTCAAATCTTAATCTTTAATCAGACTTACATATTGCAAATATCTTCACCCACTTACATAAGTCTTTAAATTTGGGGATATTTTGTCAAATATTATATTTAAATCATATTTGAGTCAATTTATTTTTCTATTTTTTATGTTATCTGAAAGCTATCCATTACTACCCTGGACTGATTACAATATACTTCCATATTTTCTTGTGTTCTTGTTAATGTTGTGTTATTTTACACTTAAGGCACCATTTCACTTCTCAATTAATATCCAAAGGACCTAAAATCAGCGTATTACAGTGATGCATCCACATCACTGTTTCAAGCAGCTCAATTCACAATAGCAAAGCTGTGAAATCAACCTAGGTGCCCTTCAACAGAAGAATGGATAAAGAAAATGTGGTACATATACACAATGGAATATTACTCAGCCTTAAAGAAGAATAAAATGATGGCATTTGACAGTAAATGAATAAAGCTGGAGAATATCATGCTAAGTGCAATCCCAAAAAATCAAAAGCTGGATGTTTTCTGTAATAGGCAGATGCTAATACACATAAGGCTTTATTTTATTTTTGAATCTGTGTATATAGTGTAAAAAGTTAACCTAAATTTACCTTTTCCTACCTGGAGTGCCAGGTATTCCAGCACCACTACTTAATTAGTCTGTTATTTCTCCTCTGCAGTGTGATGTCCCCTCTGTCCTAACTGGAGTTGCTCACTGAGCATAGCATGTTCCATAGACCTAGTTGTCTGCTCCTGCTTCAGTGCTCCTCTAATGACCATGGCTTTGTGGTACACCTGGACGTCAGGAAGGACAAGCACTCCCCCTGCCCTCGCTTCTTTCACAAAATTAATTTCCTTTTTATATGAAGATTTTCTCCTACTTGATTTTTAGAAGCACTTTGTCTTATTCTGGGGGAAAAAACCTGAAATATTCTTATTTCAATTGCATTTTATATATATAGGTTAACATGTAAACTTTTATATGTAGATTTTTAGTTTTTTCATCTATGAATTAGTATATTACAGGTTTTCTTTTTATGTTCTTAAATACTATTTCATCAGTTCCCTATAGATCATATCTTTTACATAAGTAATCCCTTGTTATCTCCTTGTCTTTGTTGCCATTCTGAATAATATTTGATTTCCTAATTGTTGTTGGGCTGTTAGAATTTAATTGATTTTGTATCTAGCAATATTGATAAACTTTTTGATTCGTATCAGTTTTTTTTTTTTGTAGAAGGTCTTGAGTTTTCTAGGTTGACTGTAAATATTCTGTACACAATGACATTGTAATGCATTCTTTTCCTATTATTCTGCCCCTATGTCAGTCTCTTTTTTATGATGCTGGTTAGAGCCTGTGGCTCGGTGTTGAGCAGTAGCAGTGACGTAGGCATCCTTGTCTGTGAATCGTGTTTATCCTGTGATAACCATTCTCTTGATACACACACTCTCGTCTCCTTCCTATGAGGTTAATGTAGGCATTTTCAATATGGATGGCCAGGGACAGGCATGGATTGTAGCTGGGTGATGAAATAAAGTTGTCATCCTGGTGAGAGGACTTGGTCTTCACCTCACTAGAACGTTTCTTTACGTCACTCTCTGAATTAACCCATCCACATTGGTTTTCAGTCATCGGAGGTAATAACATTGAAAAGCACGTACTTTATAGGTCTCAGTTACAAGTGTTTTTGTTCCATTTGACAGTGTTGGCTCCATGGGAAATGCTATATCTTTGGAAATATACATTTAGATCTTTTGACACTCTTCCCAAGTTCTCAGTTCTAATTATTTTTGTTTGCGGTTTCTTCTTTCATAGACTCCCATGAACCAAGCCTCGACCCGTTCCCACTGCATCTTCACCATTCACTTGTCAAGCAAGGAGCCAGGCTCTGCAACTGTCCGGCACGCCAAGCTCCACCTGGTTGACCTGGCTGGCTCTGAGCGAGTTGCCAAGAGTGGCGTAGGGGGCCAGCTTCTGACCGAGGCCAAGTATATCAACTTGTCACTGCACTACTTGGAGCAGGTAAGGCAGCAGAGTGGGACGTCACCGCAGCAATGTCCTGGCACTTCATTTGCATCTGCCATTCTACTCTCTGTTAAGTAGACCTAATAGACAGTTTGCCATTTTGGTCTTTTTAAGTGAACAGTTCAGTGACAAGTACTTTCACCATGTTCTGCAATATCACCGCCATCAATTTCTAGATCCATTTCATAATCCCAAGCAGAAACTCTGTGCCCATTAAAGGATAGCTCCCATCCCCTCCTATCCCTGTAGCCTCTATACCACCTTCTGTACTTGTTATCTTGCCTATTCCAGGTGCCTCATATAAGTGACTATTTCAATATTTGTCCTTTTATGTCTGGCTTATTTCACTTAGCATGATATTTTAGAAGTTCATCTGCATTGTAGCATGTTTTGGAATTTTATTCCTTTTCAAGATTGAATAATATGCACTTATTCACTTGCTTCATCCACTCATCCTTTGAAGGTCTCGTTGGTTTTTTCTACCTTTAACTGTTGTAAACAATGCTGCAGGGAACACAGGTATATCTACTAGCATTTTGTATATGCCATCTCATTTAAACCTTACAACAGCCCCATGTTGTAAGTGTTGGGTTTTAAAAATTCAAGTCCTCCCAAGACCTTCCCAAAGTTACCCAGTTACTGGGTGGCTGAGGATTTGAACTGAGACTTACTGAGGATTTGAACTGAGACTTACTTGACTACACAGTCAATGCCTTTTTCCACTTACTGTCTCATTGCCTTATTGTCTTTATTGCAAAATTAGTAGTGAGTGTGACTATAGCCTCCTGTTGCCTAATCCTTCTGGCTTGTAGATTGGCTATAACTTGGAGGTGGCCAATATTTTTCCAGCTTCCGGTGACTTCATCTAGTCAGCAATTTGTCCCCTTAGGCTCAATTTCCCTCCCTACCTCTAATCCAAGTTGACTACGATCCAGCCCAGTAGGTGCTCTGATTTTAATTTTTGAGTTTGGTACAGAAAGCTTATCTGAATTTAACTAAACATATCTTCCAAAAAAAAAAATCTTTATCTCCAACATGAGTGGATTGGATTAGATGATTTCTCAAGTTCCTTTCACTTTGTGAGCACGAGCAGTATGAATTGAATGTTAAGGATGGCAACTGTTTTCAGATTCTAGAAAAGAAACATGATTAAAAACTGGAATGGAGAAGTACAGAGGATATTGATGAGGCAGGAGGACTTGTTAATGAATGTTAAGGCTCAAAGACTTGAGGGGAAAACAAAGAACAAAACTTTTTTTTTTTTTAATGGCCTAATGAACCCTTTGAGACTGATGCTGTCCTGATGGTAAATGCTTCATAATGGTGTCTGCAAAAGCTGGTTGAGAGAAGCCGAAGGGAGACTATGTGAACAGGATGCACACGGTAGCTTCTGATCCAGTGCATCCCAGTAATGCAGCACCCAGAAAATCAGATCTGCATGGCATCCCAATCATTATAGAATTTTGACAAGAGTCAGCAGTCCTTAGCTCTTTCTTGCTAAATATTCCACACTGCTTATGCTTAACAGAGCTTTTTACTTAATAGGACACTTACAGAACAATGATATGAAAACGTAATGAACTGTATTCAAAGTGCTTTATTTCAAAGAAATGTATCTACTTATTTCAGATGGTAGCATAGTCTGTTATAATTCCCATTATGTCCATCTGTTCACATAACATAAAATTCGTCAGTTGAATCGAACTTTCTACCAATTGTAATCACTCGAGAGAAATGTCTGCCCCCTTTTCTTCCCTTTGTTCTACACAGGCTTTGAAAGCTGCCTGTCACTAAAACTGCTCCTATCTTCACATTTCCTCTCTTCAAATCCTCGTAATATCAGTCTCATGTGAGTGGTCTTGGTGGCTACATGACATTTGATTTTCAATGTCAATAATTAAGCTATCTAACAGATATGTGTAAGGACTGTAAAGTGCTAAGCACTGGAACACGGTGGCGAACAAAATGAGAGTGGTCCTTGCCCCAGGGTCTCATGGTTTGAGGTAGGAGGACAACTTGAAGCAAGCAAGCATGAAGTCTGTGACTGTGCTGGGGTGAGAGCTGTGGAGAGGAAGGAGAAGGAGTGAGCAGAGCTCATAGGGGACCTGACTCAGACTGAGGAGGTGAGGGTTCAGGATGCTTCGCTGGTGGCCTGACTCTAAGCAGAGGCTTGAGGGAGGAGTAGGGGTGAGCCAGGCGAGGCAAGGGCCTGGAGCAGGTCAGGCAGTGGGAACTGGAGCCTCTCAGCTCCTTTCTCCAGCCCCCTGGGGGCATTGGGTCACTCTGGATCCCAGTTTCACCCATGTGTCATTGACTGTGGCTCTTATGTATAATTTATCTGTTTCATTGTGACCTGCTTCTTCTCAGCTGTTATTCACCTTCATATCCAAGTGTCTTTGTAGGCAAGAAGGAGGCTCAAGATAAGGTCAGGGAATGAGGAGAAAAAATTAACACAAGCACAAGAGGAAAAGAAAGTGTCAATATGGGAATCTGCAGTGTGTGTAAAAATGGATAAGGGGCATTGAGAGCTTGTTGGAGGTTCTAGCAGAGGAGTGCAGCTACTCATACACCCCTGACCACAAAAACAGTCCTCCTCTATCGGGAAGGGTCGTCCTCTTCAACTGAGCATGCAGCTTCTGGAGGGTCGCACATGGAGCAGTGAGGGAGGAAGGGGACACCCGCCTAGCCGGCCAGATCAGCCAAATCAACCCTGGCAATCAATGAGGTGACAGATGTTGCAGCCAGATCGCCTTCAACATACTACAGGGACACAGCCACATCAATGTTTATAGAAGCACAGTCCACAACAGCTAGACTATGGAGCCAACCTAGATGCTCTTCAGTGGATGAATGGATTAAAAATGTATATACACAATGGAATTTTACTCAGTAATAAAAGAGAATAAAATCATGGCATTTGCAGGTAAATGGATGGTATTGGAGAAGATAATGCTAAGTGAAGTTAGCCAATCCCAAAAAAACCAATGCTGAATGTTTTCTCTGATATAAGGAGGCTGACTTATAGTGGGGTACGGAGGGGGAACATGGAGGAGGAATAGATGAATTCTAGATTGGGCAGAGGAGTGGGAGGGAAAGGAGGGGGCAGGGGATTTGCAAGGATGGTAGAAAGTAATGGACATCATTATCCAAAGTACATGTATGAAGACATGAATTGGGTGTCAACATACTTATATGCAAACAGAGATATGAAAAATTGTGATATATTTGTGTAATAAGAATTTTAATACATTCCATTGTCATTTATTTTTTAAAAATTGATATGGGGGTTGAGTTCATTTAAGGGGAGCTGCTGGAGAGCAGGTGGATGGGTAGAGAAGGGATTTTGGAATCCATTTAGAGATACTGAGAGAGAGACAGGGACTACATGGTAAGAAGAGTAATGAAAAGAGTGGGAAGATAATGAAATAACATAATTCAAGGACTTTTATAATCCAATTCTCTGTGTATAGTACTTTACTATGTGGCTACAGAGACTGGAAGTATAACACAATTTAGTGTAACTAGCTTCATTCATTTCTTCACTCACTAGATTGTGATTGAGTGGCCCCTGGGTGCTGTGAGTTACCTTAGGCAGCAGGGAAAGAGGCAGTGTTACCATGTCACCAGCAAACACAGGAAGAGAAAACCTCTACTAGAGATCCATTTTAGTGTTGGTAATTTACCTTCTCTTTCTCAGTTTCAATGTAAAAGAGATGAAGTAGGACATAGCTTGCTAACCTGCCTTGCATTAATTAGCCTGCATGGTTTAGGAATTTTATGCAGAATGAGATTTGCCCTCCTGGCCACAGCTGGGAAGCCCCACACCTGCTGGGAGGGTCCAGCCTGCCTGAGTCCAAGGCACCTTATTAGGCTCAGAAGTAAGTAACTTTCTGCTTACCAGAGTATCATTGGTTTTGGAGTTTTCTTGTGTATGCAGTACTTTTTCCAAAAATTGTCCTCAAAAAACATTTTCAGCCACAATAGCAGGGTACGTCTTCACCCTGGAAATTGAGTTCGTGTGAGGAAAAGCACAGGCGCCGTGTGTGCTTGTGCTCACTGTAAACCTCACCAAGTGCCCCTGGTGTGACCTGTGGCCTCCATCAGCCCAAACATCAAGTGAGAAACCACCAGGAATGGAGAATGTTTGCTCTCCACCTCTTCAGAAATCGGGATCTGGCTGCTTTCAGCCAGTTATGCAACAGAAGTGGACTTTTTCAGAGTTTCAATTCCCATTTGGCTCCTGGTGCATATGTTATGTTCAGGAGAAACACTGATGGTGCCAGTGGTAGTCAGACCGCTCTGAATCCTTGTCAGTTTTCAGAGGATAATTTTCCATGCCCTTCTGAGATCTTTAAAAGAAAATTGCTTTAATTCATTAAATAGTAAGCTAGTGATTATAATAGTCATTATTGATTCCAGGCCAAGCTTCTAGGTCCTTAGAAATGTTATTAAGAATAATGTGAGTTTCTACTCTTTATCACCTTAAGAATGCTTTCAGGAGCATTTGACATTGTGTTTATATAAGAAACCCAAAATGGAAGTAAATAGCTTTTTTTTTTTTTTTTTTTTTTTTAAGAAAGCCAGGCTGCATGACTACACCCTATCCCTGTGCCCTTGAGAAGATTATTGGGTTCCTGCCCCCTCAGTAACTCAAGAATCTTCTTCCTCTGCCTTTTTCCTGAATGCCTGCCCTTTCTGTGTCGCTCTGCAGATTTGTGTCTGTTCTGGTGGGCTGGGTTCATTATGGTTCTTTCTCCTGGTTACACTGATTGATTCAAGCGTGGGTCAGGATCTAAGCTGGTCCTTAGAGAAGATCAGGAATTTTGTTTATTGATTAGGGAAACAATGTTCTGTCTCCCCTAAGTTATGAATAAGGAAGTATATAACATCAGGGCACTTGGAAGCCATCCTGTGGCTGTGAGGAGGAGCTGACTTCCATCACATGAAAGACAGAAGAGAGTTATGGGCAAAACTACATCCTTATTGGTAGCACTAACCTTTGGAGTCATTTCTAACCTGGGGCCCCTCCTGTTTAATTCCATGAGCCAATAAATTTCCTTCATGATTGAAACCAATGTGAATTACATTTTCTGTTACTTAAAACCAAAAGTGAGTTCAGTAACACAGAATTTAATATCAACAGGGAGTTTAATAAACATGTTCTTCTTTATGCTAAGTTGTCAATAAAGGCATTGGATAGAAAAGATATATAAATATTATTTCCTAGAGCAGTAAAAAGGTGATTTTTTAATGAAAGAACCTCAATGAACTTAGAGAACTATTAGATGCTTAATTGATGATTCATAAATAACAATGCTTCTCTCTCTGCACATCAGTCATGCCAATCCATGTTTGGTCTGGTACTTGGTACTTGGGCCACCTTACCTGTATCAGGTATATAACTTGTTCTTTAGGCTCTTGGGGCCTGAACCTTTGCTCAGCATCCCTTGCCACTCATATCAAGGCTGCCATGTTCTCCACCTTTCTTCCATTACACTGAAACAGATCACCCAAATCTCATTCCATATTGAGGACTCTCACACTGCCAAATGAAACTAGTTCATCCATTCATTGTGTTCAGTACACGTTGTATTCATCAGCTTTCTTAGTTGTAAGCCGGAAAGTCCGTGCTAGCTATTTTAAGCAGCATAGAGTTTACTAAACATAAAGAATCTCAATAAAAGTTAGAAATCTAGCTTGGATACCACCCAGCCGGAAGCAAAGCAACCAGAAGACATAGCTAACCACCCCACTGAATTATTCTGCAAAACACCTCTGTTATCCCCACCTGGCACTTACGACATTGAGGGCAGGGTTTCAGAAACTTTACCAGAGCTGCATCAGAAGAACCAGATGGCTACCACCTTTCTCTTTCACAAATCTGATTCTCTTCCTTATGGTCACTACCTCATATTGCTTATCTCCAGATCCCACACAAGGAATCTGCTTGGTGGGGCTACGTTTTATGCAAAATATGAGTTGCAAGACAGACTAAGATGTGTAGTTTTATATGAAGTCAAAGTAGAATAGGAGTGTCTTGAGTACTGATGGAGACAACTTAGTTTCTGCCACATGTACTTAGTTCTGGAACGTGGTTTTAAGCAGTGGAAGTAGAGTAGTAACCAAGAGGCATGGCATCTCTAACTTGGAAGAGTAGAACATCGAGTGGGGAAACAGATGGAGAACAAGTAAATAAAGATAATTTTAAATAGTGGTAAGTACAAGAATAAAAATAAAATAGATTAACAGGCTGTTAATATTGATGTGTAATATTTGACAGGGTATCCAGGAAAAGACCTTTAAGGATATAAAATTTGAACAAATATTTGAATGAGAAGAAATAGAAAGCTGTGTGAAAAGTTGAGGCAGGAGCATCCTGGGTAAAAGGAACAGCAAGTTCAAAAGCTTTGATGTGGGAATAGCATTGGCCTGTGAGAAGGCCGGTGCAGGCGAGGGGAACATGGCAGGAGACGAGGTCAGATAGGTCAAAGGGTGCCAGATTCCACAGGACTTGAGTTATTATACTAACTGCATTGGGAAGCTACTAGAAGATCGTAAGCAGGGAAGTGACTTGGTGTAACTTATATTTTATAAAGACTGCTCTGGTTGGTGTGCAGAGAATAGGCCATGGAAGGGCAAAAGTAGAAGCATGGAGATGACTCAGAGCCTTGTGCAGTTGTCCAAGCAAGGAATCATGGAGGCTTGGGTTGGAGTGGTCCATTTCTGGGTAAGTCTTATTGGAAAACCTAAGAAACCTAGAAATTGCTGATGGATTGAATATTGAAAGTGAGGAAAAATAAAAGATGATGGCTAGGGCTTTGGCCTGAGCAACTAGGAAAATGATGGTGTCATTAATAATGATGAATAGAACTGAGAAAGAATCAGACATGGGGCAGAGAGGAGAGAAACCCAGGTGGCGATGAAGAGGCACCAAAGAGCTGATAGGTCAGGAGAGTTCAGACTTGGGGTATATATTGGGAAGACATCAAAGAAGAGATTCCTGTAAAAGCCAGGAGATAGGAAGGGATTACCTGGGAAGAGAGTATAAATAAGAAAGAAAAGAGGATCAAGAACAAAGCTCTGGAACTCCTTACTACTTATAATTTGAGAAGAAAAAAAGGAATCATTCTTTAACTAGTTTTTTAAAAATATTTATTTTTCAGTTGGACACAATACTTTTATTTCACTTATTTATTTTTATGTGGTGCTGAGGATTGAACCCAGGGTCTCACACGTGCAAGGTGAGCACTCTACCACCGAGCCACAACCCTAGCCCTATTTTTTTTGTGGGGGGGTGTGATTTAATTTATAAAAAATTCAAAACAAAAATAAAAGAAATATTAAGAATAGATACAAACTGTGATTATATATACACAATGGGATATTACTCAGCATTAAAAGAATAAAATTATGGCATTTGCAGGTACCAGCCCTATTTTTTAAAATATTTTTTTAGTTGTAGTTGGACACAATACCAAACTCAGCACCTCACACGCACTAGGCGAGCACTCTACTGCTGAGCCACAACCCCAGCCCCTCATTAACTAGTTTTTGAGGAGAGCTAAAACCAAGAAACATGGTATCCCAATTACCAAGTGAATGGAGTGTTTTCCCAAAGGAAACAATGAGTGCCTGTGTAGAATACTTCATCCAACTCAAAAGGCTAACAAGAAGACAGTCAGTGCTTTTGGTACAATGGAGGTTGCTGATGACCTTGGCAAGAGTCATCTTGGTCTAGTGCAATAGTAGGCATCCAGAATGGGCAGCATCCAAATGAAAGAGAGCACAAGAGGAGATGCATGTAGGAGCAAAGTCGATGAGGATAGAAGAGGACAAGGGTGGGGGGCTGAACTGAGAACAGTAACAGGGAAAAACAGAGTGTTCTTTAGTGATAGGAATGTAGGGATCCAGTGGCAGATGCACGACAGTCTCAGTCAGCTTGCTTATATCTGGTAGAAGGGTGGCCCTCAGCTCAATCTGAGGTTAGAGAGAAGAGAGGGGAGGGAGGGATGCCGTGACATGGGGCTGGCTCACCACTGAGGGACAGAGATTTGAAGAGGGAGGAGAAAGTATGAAGGCCTCCTTTCTGCAGTTGGGAAACTGATCCAGGACTGCTGGGTTGCAGTAACACCTGGGCTTATGAATTTAAAGTGAAACTAGTGGTATATACTTTTTCTTAAAACAGCTTTCAAAAAACAATCTTGACGTCTTGTTTTGTAAACCAAGTAGATCAAAAGGTTGTGGTGATGGGAACTACATAGCTGGGCAGAGGGAGGGCTGGACCAGCATGTGTTGATATTCCTAGGGTTCAGGATCTTATGATGCCCCTGAATTGACATTCTGTGGGCCGATAATTCCAGCTGCTTTATAAGGGACATCCTAGCACTGGATAATCTTCCCAGGATGATCCTGAGCCCTGGTGCCTCTCTTTGGGGACAGCCCCAGCATCTCATCATCCATCTAGTGCCTTCCTATTAAGTACCTAAGGAACTCACGAGGAGTAAGATACGCTGCCTCTTTCATCGATGATGAGAACAAACACGTCCACAATACTTACTATGTGCAGTTACTACTCAAAGTGATTTACACATTTTAATGCCTTTAATCATTCTTCTGTTATGAGGTAGGTACTGTATTTATCCTGGTTGTACATGTGAAGACACTGAGGCAGAGATGTCGAGTGGCATGCCCTAGTAAGTTTAGGACTTTCCCCTGGACAACTTGCATCAGAATCTGGGATCTCAAACTTTTAACGCAGCTTCTCATAGCTCTTGTTCACTGTTCTGCCTCTGCCTTGGAAATGGGGCACATAGCTCAATTTGTTTTGTTTTTGTTTGGATGGGGTACTGGCAATCCACACAGGGCCTTGTGCATGCCAAGCAAACTCTCTTCCACTGAGCTACATCTCTAGCCCTACAGCTTAATTTTGGTGGGGTCAAAGTCATCAGGCACGATTGACTATTATGTGTTTATACAGATTTTCCAACAGCTGGAAGCAGAATGAGAGTGTGTTCACTCGTCTGCAAGTCACTTCATCTGTCCAGAAATTACGGGGTTCACAATACTAGGTTCATGCTACATTTACTTGATCCCATCTTTACCATTCTTGTACTGAATATTCTTGCTAAGGTATTTATTCTGTGCTCAACTTTTAGATGTCACCCTGCATTTGGTCATTCTTTCTTTGCCTATTTTTATTGCTACTGAAGCTCCACTGTTTGTCACTTGAGCCTTTCCTGTCAAGGTAATGCTATTGTTTTTTTCAACTTTATCACAGGTCATCATTGCCCTTTCAGAAAAAAACCGTTCGCACATTCCTTACAGGAACTCCATGATGACCAGTGTCCTGAGAGACAGTTTGGGAGGGAACTGCATGACCACTATGATTGCAACGCTGTCTTTAGAGAAAAGGAATATCGACGTATGTTGTTTTTCTTTTTTTCTTTTTATTCAGGGGGATCTTAGCCTGGGTTTTCCTTGCTGGTTTTGGGGATCAAGTTGAGGGTCCTGAATGAGTTTCCATCTTTTCTGCTGGGTTGAGATAGGCTTCAGGGGTGAACACACCACAGAGTTCTCAGCATTAGGTTATTTGCTAGCCTTGTAAAAAAAAAAATCCATTTGAGAACTGACTTCACATATACCAGGTGGTTTGAGGATGCTGTAGACACAAATTTGGGAAGGCCTGCTTAAATTTGAAAGGCATTTTCAGCCAGAGAAATGAGAAAGTCTTCTCTTGCTTCTCTTGAACAGTTTTACTCCTGGCTAGCAAAATCGGGTGCCTTGGAGGTGTCCCTGAAATCTGTCCCCAGACGTGTCCCAGGGTGCAGCTTGCTGGCTGCTTTGGTGGTGCCTGGCTAGTGAACGCTCTCCTGGGGCTGCTCTGGAGCCAGCTGACGTTTCCCACATTGCAGTTGCTGAATGTTTGGGGTCCAGATCCTCTCCAAGAGAGCAGCAGGGTGCTTCCCAGAGCACGCCAAGCCTTTGATGGTGAGGTGCCATGAACAGCCTCACTTCTTGGTCTGTTACAAATATTTATTTTGTAGTCTCTCATGTTTGTGGTTGTGGTACCTGCTGTGATTATGACTTACATATCTGGTTCTGGTTTAACAGATCAATAGTTAAAAACACATGTCAGTGCCATTGGGGGTCTTAGGATCTCCCATATTTTTGGCATTGGTCATTTTATTAAGACAAAATCAAGAAAATAATCTTCCAGAGCTAAGTTCCCTAATTTAGAGGCATCCTTCTTCATTGTGGTTTTTATATACATCACTCTTTAGGTATGCATCTTTTTTCTATGACTAAAATTTAAGTTTGGTCTAACAAGAAATTCTTCCCCCTGTTATAACACTTTTAAAAGTTGTTTTGCTTTGTAGGAATCTATATCTACCTGCAGATTTGCACAACGAGTGGCACTCATAAAGAATGAAGCTGTTCTTAATGAAGAAATCGATCCCAGATCGGTAAGCAAATTGTAACTGTTGAAAAAAATGATTATATCAAAGATTAGCTAAAACTCAGGCTGGGGCATTTACTCTGTACTAGACAGTTCTAAGTAAGGCATTAACTGATTAAATTCTCAGAACAAGCCAGTGAGTAAATGCTGGCTCTGTCTCTGCAGATAACAAAATTGAGGCACAATGATGGTAACTTGCTCAGAATCACAGTGCTAATGAGTCTCAGCAACTTAGACAGACCCTGTCTCAAAATAAATCTAAAAAGGTACTCAGTGATAGAGCACCTGAGTTTGATCCCCAGTACCAAGAAACAACAGCAATAACAAAAATAAGTAGCAGAGCCAGGATTCAAATCTAGACAGTCCAGCCCAAGAAACTGTGCTCCTACCTCCAGCTCCCACCACTTTACCAGTTGTGCCCTGAGTCCTAAAAACATAGGCAGCCTGTTCCAAAACTCAGTTTAGCTTTCTAGAGACAAGAACAAACCATCTTTTATAAATGCTTATAACGAAAGAAAAATGCTAATGGTTAATACATGGGAAAAATATTTTTTGATTCTTTTTTTTATTATTAGTTGTTCAAAACATTACAAAGCTCTTGACATATCATATTTCATACATTTGATTCAAGCAGATTATGAACTCCCATTTTTCCCCGTATACATATTGCAGATTCACATTGGTTCCACATCCACTTTTTTACATACTGCCATACTAGTGTCTGTTGTATTCTGCTGCCCTTCCTATCCTCTACTATCCCCCCTCCCCTCCCCTCCCCTCTCCTCCCATCACCCTATCCTGTAATTCATTTCTCTCTCTTGTTTTTTTCCCCTTTCCCCTCACTTCCTCTTGTATGTAATTTTGTATAACAATGAGGGTCTCCTTCCTTTGAATCACTGTCCTATATTCTAAGGGACTTTCAAAAATTATCAGTCTGATTCATGGAAAAATGAGCAAGTTTCTTGTTTGATAATAATAAATCCTCCTTTATCAAAACACTTTTTTAAGGGAAAAAAACTTCAAGTTTCATGAAACTTGAAGTTTTTTTCCCTTTTTCTGTTTGTTAGTTTTCTATAAAGGAAATGCAGCACCAAATCATCTCATGCCAACAATTAAAATGTGGAAATGAAATATCTCAAGTTTTGTCAAATTTCATAATTAAGATTGATATATTAGTCAGGCACAGTGGTGCCCACCTATAATCCCAACAGCTCAGAGGCTGAGGCAGCAGAATCACAGCCTCAGTAACAAGAAGAAAATTCAGTGAGACCCTGTCTCTAAATAAAATACAAAATAGGGCTGGGGATATGGCTCAGTGGCTGAGTGCCCCTGAGTTCAATCCCTGGTAAACCCCCATCACCAAATAAAAGATTTGTTAGGGCTGGTGAAAGATACAGCTCAGTGGTATAGCACGTGTCTAGGCCGTGTGAAACTCTGGGTTCAATCCCCAGCACTACCAAAAAAAAAAGGGGGGGGGATTATATAACATTTTTAAAAATCACTCAATTTTTCTTATTTCTCCAAAATATAAGTTGATGTAGGTTTTCTAGTATGCATTATTAAGGAATATGAAATCTTGCCACAGTGCTTCAATTAAAAATTTCTCAAATTTACTGTTTTCCATATTAATTACTTCCTCTTGATTATTTGCCCCTTCTCCCCTGAAATCATTACACTGAAGAATAGAGAGAAAGGAAGAAAAAGGAATGATGGGAATATCTGTTTTACCCTGCTTGCCTCTGGGAGCAAGCACCAGGTTTCCCTGATAGAATTCTCTTCTGGAGAAACCAATGGATGAGGCAGGAGTCTATTTCCAGTACAGGCCCTGGTCAGGTATCAGCATCAAGAAGAGCCCCCACAGGGAAGAAGAGATGGAATGCAAGGGCCTGAGTCAAGTGAAATTGCACTTCCTACTGTCCCTATCTTCCAGCTGCCCTATGACATTCCTGTGCAGAACAAGAAAGACAGTAATAGCATTACTACCCCGAAGAAAAAAATTAATAAAAATCAACATATTAGACATTGGAAGGGGTTTTCCTTTGAATTGTCTAGAGAGACACTTCCTTGAAGCGACATGATGAATTTGAAGAAAGGCGAACGTTATTATGTGTTTGATGTGGATCTGTGAGAGATTTAAAGAAAACAGAGATGAGGAGTGAAAAGCTAATAGCTGATAATTGAACAAGTTGCTGGAGTCTGCCTAGTACAGAACAATCTAGTAATTAACAAGTGTTGTTTCCTCATTTGTATAATAATTTCTTCTGAACACTGACATTTCTATTTACTAGTTTATGTACACAGTTTATCTGAAGTGTGACAATTGGAAATTTGTCTAGAAACCATCCAAGACACAACTGGGTGGGGATTTCTTATGCCTTACTCTCAAATTACAATGGCAAATGTGGAAACAGCCCTGTAATTGGGGGTGATCAAGGATCTTCCCTACTTTCCTTAAAAGTATTAGTACTTCAGAGAGAGAAGGTGATAAAAGAACTGTGAGCCAGGTCAGAGTTGGTGACTGGGCTTGGGCCAGTATCTTCTCAGGATGGCTTTACTTTCAGAGTTCCTGCAGTAATCTGATGGGAGGTATAACTGTGGTCATCTCAAATCATAAAAAGTTGGCTTAGTTTTGATATATCTATTGCATAAGACAGGGAAATAATGTAGTTTTTTACATTTCACTTTGAAAGTTTTAATAGAAGCAAAATGTATTGCACCAAATATATTAATTTATTAGAGGAGAGTTCAAATGAATGACTCACAGTTCTTGTCTGAAGATTTTTGTTCTTCATAGCTTGATGATTCTGGGAATATTTTTTAAAAGAAACAAACAAATAAAATTCAGACTCTCCTATATGCATTCAAATAAAATCCTAGGAACACTGACATGTTCAAAATACTCAGTACCACATTCTTTGGGACTTCTGTTCCTATTGATGTGGTCCAGATCACCTGAAACTCACCTAAATAAATTTTTAGAAGCACCTTTGAAATATATATCTGAGATTGAAAGAAATAAAAGAATTTGCCAGAGCCTGAAAAAAAGCTGAGGCTGTAGTTGTCCTGGAGTAGGTAAAAAGAGTTGTAACAAAGGGATAGGAGTAGGTCTTGGAATTTTGCAAGGAGGGTACTGAACCTAAGACATCTTCTTATCTCCCTAACAAAAAGCCTGGGGGGGGGGCATAGAGAGACATTAGTGCAGCTTGACTGCCTTAGCCTGGACTCTAAGTAGAACAAAAAGTACTTTATATAAAAAACTAAAACCCTCAGCACTACCTCTCATGGTTTTGAAATTCACATGCATACAACCCTTTTAGCCTGGCAACCTGCAAGCAAAGTTACAGAATTAGAAAAGGTACTGAAAGACAAACTAGATTTTTTTCTTTCTTTTCTCCCTCTCTCTTTCCATTTCATTCTTTCTTTTTTGTTCCTTTCTCTCTTTTTATTCGTCTGTTCTTTTCTCCCTCCCCCCTCCTCCCTTCTTTCTTTTTTCTGGTGAGTAATACCAAATAGTCAAAGGAGTGTGAAAGCTGGATTGGAGCTGCTAATTTTTGTTTTAGGAATTTTGCATAATGTTCACAGTGGGTTTATTTCAAGGATTTAGGGATAAACTGGGCGCCGTGGGGCATCTCTGTAATCCCAGCAGCTCAGAGGCTGAGGCAGCAGGATCTCAAATTCAAAGCCATCCTCAGTAACAAGAAGACCCTAAGCAACTCAGTGAGCCTCTGTCTCTAAATAAAATACAAAATAGGGCTGGGGATGTGGCTCAGTGGTCGAGTGCCCCTGGGTTCAATCCCCAGTACCTACCCCAAAAAAGTATTTAGGAATAAGTTATCACTAGAAAATATATCAATGCATAGGAAAAAAATAGGAAAAAAATTATAATGAGAATTTGTTTATGGAAGGTAATACAGGGGTGAGAACTTTTAAGAGATCTATAATGTTTTATTTCTTAAATAGTGGGGACATGGATGTTAACTTCAGCTATGTAGTGGGTATCATATATTATTTAATGCCTTTTCTGTATTCTGAAATAGTTCAGATTAAAAGACCAATTACGTGAATGTAGGTGATTCATCACATGCACAGTTTAAACAAAAAAATTGGATGATTTCAGATTAAGTATTTGATAACATTAAGCATTCATCCACACATTGAAAGACTCATTAAACTGTAAGTGAACATTTAAACTGATAAAGCATATTAATCAAAAAATTACATAAACATCACTTTAAAAGTGAAATGTTAGAAGTAACAAAAGACTGTTTTAAGAATTACACATGAAGATCTTAGCTAGTGAGACAATAAAAATAATAAAATGCATGAGAATTAGAAAAGAAGAAAACATCTGTCCTTACTTGCAGATAATTTTTTGTTTATGTAGAACATTCAAGAATATTTAATAATAAACAGAACAAAATATGCTTGGAAAATTATTTAGAATATAATCCAAAACTGAATTGCATTTTTGTATTCCAGAGGCCAACAATTAGAAAATATAATTTTCCAAAATTCCAATTACAATATCAACAAAAACTTTTTTCTATAAATAAGATATTTATAGAAAAATTATAAATTTTATTGAAGGAGAGAGGTTTACCATGTTCATGGATGGGATGATTCAATGTAATTCCAATTAAAATTTGAGGAAGGCTTTTGTATAATTTGATGAGCTAGTCCCAAAATTTATATGGAAGAGCAAATGGCCAAGAATAGCCAACTCTACTTTGGAAAAGCAAAATATGAAAGGGGGTTGTCTTTTCTAGATGCCAAAATTTCTTAAGGTATAATAATTTAAATTATAGCATTACCATGTATATAGTCAAATGTTTTCAACTCTAGCCCAGAAGCAGACACATTTACATGTAGAAATATGTTATATAGCATAATTATATTAGCAATTTTATATGGTTAGTCATATAAAAAATTGAAATTTGATTCCTATGTTATATCTTATACAAAATAAAAACTACCTAAGTGTGAAAAGTAAAGCTTTAATGCTTTTTAAATATCACAAAAAAAACATTTCTTTGGTTTGGAGTAAGACAGATTTTCTTTAAGAAAATACAAAAGTACAGCTAAAAAAAATTGCTAATTTGGTTATATTGAGATTCAAAACTTCCATCTAACAAAAACAACACCATGAAGTGGAAAACATATTGTAGATTGGGAGAAAATAGGTGAATCATGTAAAACTAGCAAAGGATTCAGATCCAGAATATATAAAGAAGGCTGCAGATTAATAAGGAAAATAAAACCAAATCAATTGATACCTTGGCAAGAATGTGAATACATATTCTCAGAAGGAGAAACCCAAACAATCAATATCCATATGCAAAGATGGTCAGTTTCACTAATATTATGAAAATGCAGATTAGAACTAAAATGAGATATCATTTCACAACTACCAGATTGATAAAATTAAAGCATATTACATAGTAACAAAAATGTGGGGAAACAGGAACATACATACACATACCTGAAGGTAATGTAAATTCATACCATGACTCTCAAGTGCAACTTAACTAAGTATAGTAAAGGCATTCGAGTGATCACCCCAGGGAGGACAGAAGGGGAATAGAAAGTAGCAGGTTCCAGTTATATCAGTATATTTTGTTTGTTAAAAATGAATTCTAAGTCATATGTGTTGGTGTACACCTGTAATCCCAGCTACTCAGGAGACTGAGGCAGGAGGATCACAAACTCGAGGCCAGCCTCAACAACTTAGTGAGACCCCCTGTCTGAAAATAAAAAATAAAAAGGACTGGTAATATAGGTAGCTCAGTATTAAGGTGTCTCTGGCTTCAATCCCCAATACCAAATAATAATGATAATAATCATAGTTGTTTTGTTATTATTATTATTATTATTATTATTATTATTATTATTATTATTATACAGCTATTTGATACACTATTAAGATTTACAAATAATGAAGTATTGGAGGAAGGAGAGGTTCTGAGGTCCTAAATAGAATAAGATATATTCCATGCTTGTATTATTACATCAAAATGGGTTCAACTGTCATGTATAACTAAAAAGGAACCAATAAAATGAATAAATAAAAAGATATAACAAAGATGGCTGGTAGGTACAGAAGTGCTTTTTAGGTCATTCTCTAACCATCTTTATATCCATAAATAGTTCATAATTCTAAAAGATATATGCTCTCTGCCATCAGGTCACATTAATGAGAAACTGACATTTACCCTCCCACGTTGCCTTTCATAGATGATTATATGCCTTCAAAAGGAAATCCAGGAACTGAAGGATGAACTGGCCCTTGTCACTGGGGAGCAGAGGACAGAGGCACTCACAGAAGCAGAGCTCCTCCAGTAAGCCTGCAGACTTTTTTCTTTTTCTCGAACAGTGAAAGTTTGTGTTAACTTCTTTGTTGGCCTTGACGTTACAAATTCACCTCAGAGCATGACGGTCTCCTGGGACAGTCTGAGATTGCATTCAGGCGCCAGTTAGAGTGGAGGCTTTCCATGAAAAGCTGCATGAGGCTGCCAGTGTCTTTGCCGCCTGGGCTTTGAGCAAGTAAAGAACAGGGCATGGAGGGAATGGGAATCTCTTTCTCATGTCAGCTGCAGAAAAGGGGCTGGGGAAGAGTCATGCAGTTTTAAAATCCACACCCCAAACACTAAAGCTGTGGATCTCAGACCTGAAAGAAGTTCAAGAAACATCCTTTGTGTTAACTGCATCTTGCTGCAAGCACCAATTTATCCCATGCCAAAGTAAGCTTCCTCTTTTAATAAATAGATGGCCCATATATTATAGTTCAAACACTCCAACTGGGAATGAAAGCAGGTATTCAGGGCTTGTGCAAGCATGGCATCTTTCAGAGCCTTTAGATTTGTGGCCATATGGCATATCGGTGGCATGCTGGGGCCGCCTTCTCTCTGATCATGCGCCACAGTGGTGGGCTCTCTTGTTTCCTGTGCTGCTTATTTAGCATCTGTGTAGTGATAATAATGGACCAGGCCTAGAGCAGTGACAGTCTCTATTTCCAAATAACAAATAGAGCCATACAAGATTTTTTTCTAAAGATTAAACTGCCATTTCACCTAACTTTTCCTCAACAGAGAAAATGGTAAGTAAAAAGACCGTACCTGTAATACCAGCCGCTCAGTAGACGGAGCAGGAAGATCACAAGTTGCCAGGCTGGGGAACTTAGCAAGACCCTGTGTGAAGATAAAAAATAAAGAAGTGCTTGGGATGTATCTCATGCTAGAGGATTTGTCTAGCATGTGCCAGGCCCTGATTTCAATTCCCATATTGAAGGGGTGCAGGGGGCGAGGGGAAAGAATGCAGTTGTTTTCCTTAAACTGCTGTACAGCTTCCCAGGAGGAATGGCTAAAACTTGAAAGGCATTCAGCAAACTTTCTGTCCTCCAGGAAAGTGTTTCCTAATTGTACAACACTATGTGTAGTAGGATAAGCCCCTGCAAAACTGCTTTGTGGCAAATTTGCAATATCACTCCTTGAAGTAGCTCGGGATATCCTTTACCAAATGTTCTTTTTTTGTTGTTGGTTCTTTTTAAGTTATACATGACAGTTGAATCCATTTTGATATAATTATACAAGCATGAAATATATCTTATTCTAATTGGGACCCAAGTCTTGTGGATGTACACAATGGCGAGATTCACTGTGGCGTATTCATGTATGTATATAGGAAACTCATGTCAGATTCATCCACTGTCTCTCCTATTCTTATTCCCCTTTCCTTTCCTTCATTCACCTTTGTCTAATCCACTGAACTTCTGTTCTTCCTGTCCTTCTTGTATTGTGGGTTAGCTTCTGTATATCAGAGAAAACATTTAACTGTTGATTTGGGGGGATTGGCTTATTTCACTTAGCATGATACTCTCCAGTTCTGTCCATTTACTGGCAAATGTCATAAAGTCATTCTTCTTTATGGTTGAGTAATATTCCATTATGTATATATAGTACATTTTCTTTATCCATTCATTTGTTGAAGGACACCTAAGTTGAAGGACACCATAATTTAACTATTGTGAAGTGTTCTGCTATAAACATTGATATGGCTGTGTCACTGTACTATGCTGATTTTAAGTCCTTTGGACATATACTAAGGAATGGGATAAATGGGTCAAATGATGGCTCCATTCCAAGTTTTCTGAGGAATCCTCATACTGCTTTCCAGAATGGTTGCACCAATTTGCAGTCTAACCAGTAATGTATGATTACACCCTTTTCCCCACATCCTCACCAACATTTATTATTACTTGTATTCTTGATAGTTCCCACTCTTGACTAGAGTGAAATGAAATCTCAGTGTGGTTTTAATTTGAATTTTTCTAATTGTTAGAGATGTTGAAGATTTTTTTCATATATTTGTTGTCTGATCATATTTATTCTTTTGAGAAGTATCTGTTCAGTTTCTTTGCCATTTATTGAATGGGTTATTTGGTTTTTTATTGCTAACTTTCTGAGTTCTTTGCATATCCTAGAAATTTACACCGTATCTGAGGTGCAGGTGGCAAAGATTTTTCTCCCATTCTGTAGCTCTTTTTTCATGTTCTTGACTATTTCCTTTGCTGAAAAGAAGCTTTATAGTTTGATCCCAGCCCATTTATTGGTTTTCGATTTTACTTCTTGCACTTTAGGAGTCTTGTTGAGGAAGTCAGTTTCTAAGCTGACTGTTGGAGTGTTGGACCTACTCAGGATCTCTGGTCTAATTCCTAGGTCTTTGATCCATTTTGAGTTGAGTTTTGTGCAGAGTAAGAGATAGGGGCTCAATTTCATTCTGCTACATATGGATTCCCAGTTTTTCCAGCACCATTTGTTGAAGAGGCTATCTTTTCCCCAATGTATTTTCATGGTGCCTTTGTCTAGTATGAGATAACTGCATTTATGTGGGTTTGCCTCTGTCTCTTCTATTCTATCCCATTGGTCTTCATGTCTGTTTTGGTGCCAATACCATGCCGTTTTTTGTTACCATAGCTCTGTAGTATAGTTTAAGGTCTGGTATTGTGATGCTGCCTACTTCACTTTTCTTGCAAAGGATTGCTTTGGCTATTCTGGGCCTCTTATTTTTCCAAATGAATTTCATGACTGCTTTTTCTATTTCTATGAAGAACATCACTGGAATTGTAATAGGAATTGCATTAAATCTCTATAGCACTTTTGGTAGTATGGCCATTTTGACAATATTAATTCTGCCTATCCACGAACATAGGAGATCTTTCCATTATCTAAGTTCTTCAATTTCTTTCTTTAGTATTGTGTAGTTTTCATTGTAGAGGTCTTTCACCTCTTTTGTTAGATTGATTCCCAAGTGTTATGTTTTTTGAGGCTATTGTGAATGGGATAATTTTCCTAATTTCTCTTTCAGCTGATTCATCATTGATATATAAGAATGCAGTTGATTTATGGGTGTTAATTTTGTGTCCTGCTACTTTGCTGAAATCATTTCTGAGTTCTAGAAATTTTTTGGTGAGTTTTTTTGAATCTTTTAAGTATGGTTTGTGTTGTTGACAGAGATAGTTGGAGCTCTTCTTTTCCTATTCATATACCTTTAATTTCTTTCTTTTGACTAATTTCTCTGGCTAGAGTTTCAAGGACTATGTTGAATAGAAGTGATGAAGTTGGGCATCGAGTCTTGTTCCTGATTTTAGAGGGTATGCTTTCAGTTTTTCTCCATTTAGAATGATGTTGGCCTTGGGTTTGTCTTATGCCTCAGTGCTGAGGTGTGTGCCTTTTATCTATAGTTTTTCTGGTGTTTTAAATAAGAATGGAGGCTGTATTTTGACCATTGCTTTCTCTGCATCTATTGAGGTAATCATCTGCTTCTTGCCTTTAAGTCTATATATGTGGAGAATTACGATTATTAATTTCCATATGTCGAACCAACCTAGCGCTGGGATGACACCCACTTGATCCTAGTGCACTGTCTTTTTAATGTGTTTTTATATGTGATTTACCAGTATTTTATTAAGAATTTTTGCATCAATATTCATCAAGGATATTGGTCTGAAACTCCTTGATGTGTTTCTGTTTGGTTTGGGTATTAGAGTGATACTAGCTTCATAGAATGAGTTTTTAAAAGTTCCCTTCTTCTTTGTTTCATGGAATAATCTGAGGAGGATCGGTGTTAGTTTGTCTTTGAAGCTCTGGTAGAGCTTGAGTGAGCATCCATCCAGTCCTGGGCTTTTATTTGTTGGCAGGCTTTTATGGCATCTTCAGTTTCATTACTTGCAATTGATCTATTTAAATTTTCTATATCCTCTGGTTTGATTTGGGTAAGTCATATGTCTTTAGGAATTTGTCAGTGTCTTTTAAATTTTCTAGCTTATTGGACTATAAATTTTCAAAATACTTTCTGTATTTTAGTAGTGTGTGTGGCAATATTTCCTTTTTTATCATGTATTTTAATAACTTGAGTTTCTTCCTCTCCTTCTTTTGGTTAGGTTGGCTAATGGTTTATCAATTTTGCTTATTATTTCAAAGAACCAATTTTTTGTTTCATTGATTTTTAAAATTTTTTTAATCTCAATTTTATTGATTTTGGCTCTGATTTTAATTATTTCCTGTTTTCTACTTGTTTTGGTGTCAATTTGTTCTTTTTCTAGGCCCTTGAGATATAATGTTAGATTATTTATTTGGTGTTTTTCTATTCTTTTAATGAATGAGTTCAATGCTTCCATAGTGTCCTGGAAATTTTGATATATTGTATCATGTTGTATCACTTTTTCATTTACCTCCAATTATTTTTTTTATGTCATGACTGATTTCTTCTGCTATCCATTCATCAGTCAATAGTGTAATATTTAGTCTCCAGTAAAACTACAGTAGTTTCTGTTTTGTATTTTATCAATGATTTCTAATTTCATTCTATTAAGGTCTGATAGAACTATTTTTTTGTATTTGCTAAGAGCTGCTTTGTGACCTAAAATATGATATATTTTAGAAAATAATCCATGTGCTGCTGAAAAGAAAATCATTCAATCATTAATAAATGAAATGTTCTATATATGTCTGTTAAGTCTAAATTATTTTTTTAATTCTGTAGCTTCTTTGTTTAGCTTTTGTTTGGAGGATCTATGCAGTGATGAGAGAGGTGTGTTAAGGTCACCCAGTATTATTATGTTGTAGTCTATTTGATTCTTGATATTTAAAAGGGTCTGTCTGATGTATATAGATGCTGTATTGTTTGGAGCATAAATAGTTACAATTGTAATTTTTTATTGTTGTATGATTCCCCTAAGCAATATGAAATGACCTTCCTCCCTTCTGATTAACTTTGGCCTAAAGTCCACTTTATCTGATATTCTTTAAGAATACTAACCTGAGAATTCCTTCACTGCTAT